CGCTAATTCGACGCTAAGGGCTTTTAGCGTCGAATTACGCTGACGCTAAATGTCTGTTTTCTTGTAGTGAGAAAAGAGTGTAGCTCCGCTTATCTAAACTAAGAAAACTTATACAATATTTTCTTTTATCAAAACAAAAAATTTTTGGTTAACTTTAGCCTTGATCCTTTGTTGGCAATGGTCTTGTTATATTGTGAACTATCGAATTGGCTAATATAATTTGACAAAAGAAAAGAAATATTATATGAATCTCTTGTGTTGTGTGTTATATGGTCGAACGAAGGGGGATATATATACTAACACTAGCCATTGCAGGACTTACCTAAATATGACGCAATAATTGATAGAATTTCTTAATAGTTGCGTTATTTTTGTTAATATCTTTGTAAAATCTCAAATCTCTCTAACGATTTCTACAATACTTTATGAGTGTCGCTTACTTTTGACGAAAAAAAAAGGAAAAGGAAAAGAGTGTGGCTCCGCTTACCTAAACTAAGAAAATTTATACAGTATTTTCTTTTATCAAAACAAACAAAATTTGGTTAACTTTAGCCTTGATCCTTTGTTGGCAATGGTGTTGTTATATTGTGAACTATCGAATTGGCTAATATAATTTGACAAAAGAAAAGAAATATTATATGAATCTCTTGTGTTGTGTATTATATGGTCGAACGAAGGGGGATATATATACTAACACTAGCTATTGGAGGGCTTACCTAAATATGATGCAATAATTGATATAATTTCTTAATAGTTACGCTATTTTTGTTAATATCTTTGTAAAATCTCAAATCTCTCTAACGATTTCTACAATACTTTATGAGTGTCGCTTACTTTTGACGAAAAAAAAAGAAAAAGGAAAAGAGTGTGGCTCCGCTTACCTAAACTAAGAAAACTTATATTTTCTTTTATCAAAACAAACAAAATTTGGTTAACTTTAGCCTTGAACCTTTGTTGGCAATGATCTTGTTTTATTGTGAACTATCGAATTGGCTAATATAATTTGACAAAAGAAAATAAATATTATATGAATTCATGAATTACACTTGCGAATATATAGATTTTTGGGTTAATTAGTTGAATATTACGTATGAGACCACTAATTATAGGTGAGAAAACTAATATACTACCTAATTTTCCTAGATTTTATTGCGGGTTTTTGTTTTTTAAACTAGTTTAACATTTGATATATGTATGTTGTATTTGATAAACAAATCATATGTACTAAAGTGACGTCTTTTCAAAAAGAAAAACAAAATCACATGGAAAAATAAGCAGCAAAGTACAATAAGTGGAGGCAGAAGGTAGAGATACTCGTTTGCTTTCGTCCATGTCTGCCCTAAAGATACACTAGCAATGCAGTAAATAGAAAGTAACAAAACCGATGTAAAAAGCATGAGACCAAATATGCTAAATAAAAAGTGATTCAAAATTGGCACGATCAATTATTCAAAAACCAAACTTGTTCCAATTCAATGAATTTTATTAACTTCATATGAAATCAAGAGTCACGTCAAACTTCTATTGAAGGAGTGAACCACCGTAGACAGAAGCGAGCATCAGCGATGGGAGTCACAAAACACAACTGTAATAATTAATAATACACGATCATAAACTTAAAATATTTTTAGGGAAATTTGGCAAAGGAACCATCAAACATTTAATAATTAGACATATAGCCATATTAAATTTTTGTTGGGTGTAAACTATTAACGAATCCACCACGGAGTCCAGAAAAGAGAGAAGATGTTCCTCATACTACTTATACATAAAGGTGTTAGTGAGCTTATTCTTTCTGAACCACGGCGATGGAATCTAGAGCTTCTGAAACAGATTTTTCTACCAGAGGATGTATCAGAAATATTGAAAATCAGACTCAGACAATTTGGAAATTTAACACTGCTCCGAAGAAACATTTTCTTTGGCGAGAGTCCTTTCTGAAGCATTAGCGGTTGGTTCGATATTAAAGCATAGCGGTGTTATAAGAGATGCTCAATGTCGAAGATGTGGTAAAGAGGAGGAAACAATAGATCACCTGTACATATGCTCAGGCTATTTGGGGCAGTTTTACTTCCCTACTTTCGTGATTTAAAGGGCTTTTTGTTAGAAGCAGGACAGAATATTGGACGAGTCTGTGACACTGTTCTTGAAGCAGAGTTACAAGAGGAAGTAATCAAGCTGCTGATACATTAGCCAAGCATCTCACTCAAAATCAAGCTTTCGTGTCTTACTTTTTCATTCCTCGTTATCTTGTAACAGATTTGCACAATGACTATATTTCATCAATGAAATAAAGTGTTTACGTGTTTTAAAAAAAAAAACAATCCTCAAAAGACAATCGAAGAATTGTGTCTTTTCAAAACAAGCGGTTTATTATTTATTAGTATTATGTACTTTCGGGTCGCGTATTTTAAAAATATTTCGTAGAGTTGCATCGTTAAAAAAAAACCGCTTTATGATTATTTTGAAGGATCGTGTCCTTTCGAATACGTAGGGTCACGTCTTCTCAAAAATATTTCGTAGAGTCGCGACTTTTCGAAAAAATTATTTTATGGTTATTTTGAAGAGTTTTGCCCTATCAAATTTGTAGGATCATATCTTTTAAAAAATAACCGTTTTATAGTTATTTCATAGGGTTATGCCTTTTCAGGTCTCATCTTTTGAGTCGTGTCTCTACGAAAACGTTAGTTTTCTATATTTAAAAACAATTTTTTTGGGTTGTATATTACCGTGTTAGCATTGCTACAAATTCTCAAAATGAAAAGATACCCATAAGTGATTTGGTTATCTATTTTTTATATGCAGTAGATGATTTAAAAATACCAAATTACAAATGATTCGATTTAAATGATGTACCAATCTAAAAATTGTTTTACTGATTAGACGAAAAACTATGAACTTAGACGAACCTTTAGAACGCTATTTACAAAGTGGACCTTGTCTGAATCAACCAAATCATTTGATAAGAGACTATGAGCAGATGCCAAAGTTCCATGACCACAAAGATCCACCTGCAAAACCATTGTATTCTTTGTGTGAAACGAAAATAGCTTCCTCGTCTATTTGGGGCAGAGTCAAATCCTTTAGATCTTAACTTATATGTTTTCACAAAACTGTGAAAAACAAACCAACAACAAATCATTCTCTTTTCACTAACAATTACAAACGCAGACTAAAAATAACAAAAACGGCAATCATAAAAAAAGCACAAAAACTGGATGAGGCAAAACGGCGTTTAGGGTTTAAGGGTTTGATTTTCAGACAGAAGTACAAAAAGAAGGACAATTAACAATCTGCAGGTTGCTGATCTCGAATTCGGCGATTGTTATCAAAGAAGATGCATTCCTGTTCTCAAACTCACTTCGCCTCCCTCAAGCTTCCTCATTTCTTCGCGCCTAAGGTCTCTTCTCTCTCATTCTCAATCTCTTCTGAGGAAAGAGGAAAGCCCTTTACTCTGTGTGTGTGTTTAGTCTCCGATTAAGAATAAAAGTCTGAAACTTTGGAGTTTTTCATTTCCATGTCTCAGAGTTTTTTTGTGCGGAGAGAATTTAGAGTGTTCGCAATGGCAACAACCGTGGAGGAGTCGTCAGGTAACATACCAGCGGCTCCGATTGCTCTACCTGAAGGATCATGGAAACAGGTTTTGCATTTTTTTGATTCTAAAGTTATCTTTTATTGAGTGGTGCTTCAAAGTTTGTAACTTTAAATCTTTTGTTGTTGGTTAGGTACCTGGTGGAGTTACAGCTGCTAAAGGGTTTAAAGCTGCTGGTATGTATGCTGGATTACGAGCTTCAGGGAAGAAACCTGATCTTGCTCTTGTAACCTGTGATGTTGAAGCTGTAGCTGCAGGTCCAATGCTAGTAGCTTTGGTAGTCCTTAATAAGTATTCAGAGGCAAAACAGATTTCTGATTTTCTTCTTCAAGTTTTTTTCAGGGGTGTTTACTATGAATGTGGTTGCTGCTGCTCCTGTAGTTTACTGCAAAAAGATTCTTGAGACTTCGAAAACGGTAATAGTCTGACCTCATTATTTGGATTTTGGGATTTGACCGAATCATTTTGTGCTTCTGAGCTTTGAATCAGTAAGTGTTGAAATCTTTCAGGCGCGTGCAGTTTTAATCAATGCCGGTCAGGCTAATGCAGCTACGGTAAGATATCTTAGTTTTAGTCTGATGCTTTCAATAAGTAGAGATCTCTAGCTGTGTTGTTTACGAGTTTATACATATGGTAGTGAAAATGTGAAATAGCCTGAATTGTATATGGTTTTTAGGTATGAATCACTCATTGCTGTAATACGTATTGAGGATTGAGATCATTCATTTTTTCAGGGTGATGCCGGTTACCAAGATATGTTAGATTGTGTTAGTTCTCTTGCGAAGGTATGCCTTGGTGTCTTTTGATCCCGTGTCTCCCGCAAAACCTCATATCTTTCAACATTGTTACCTTTTGATTCTTTACTGTTGCAGCTACTTAAAGTGAATCCAGAGGACGTGCTTATTGAGTCAACTGGGGTCATTGGTCACAGGATAAAAAAGGTACAACAGATTTCCTATTCTTTTCCCGTATGAGTGCTCCGATAACAGTATGAATACCCGTGAATCTTTGCAGGAAGAGCTTCTCCACGCACTTCCAATGCTAGTCAACTCGATATCAGACTCTGTTAAAGAGTATAATATTCTTTTCTCTCTCTCTCTCTGAACACATAGATCAGAATCCACTTTCTTTATTCGCCATTGGAGATCCTTTTAACCAAATCAATTTGCAATTTGTTATGCAGAGCAGATTCTGCTGCTGTAGCAATCACGACAACAGATCTTGTAAGCAAGAGCGTGGCTGTCGAATCACAGGTAGGTAATAATAGGTTTAAGAAACACTTTTTTACTCTGTTTCTTGCCTTTCATATATCTTACAATGATTTGAAATTGCTCAGGTCGGAGGAACCGCAATTCGAGTTGGGGGCATGGCAAAAGGCTCCGGGATGATTCACCCAAATATGGCAACTATGTTAGGTGTATGTTCTTCAGCTATTACTTTCTTTTGGCTGCTTATCCGTTAAGACATACACATTGATGTTAAACAATGCCAATTCGATTTCTTTGTCAGGTCATCACAACGGACGCGCTAGTTGAAAGTGATATCTGGAGAAAGATGGTGAAGGTTGCAGTAAACCGAAGTTTCAACCAAATAACTGTAAGACATAATTTCAAAACATTATTATGATTGTATTATTTTCATTTCCAGACTTTGAATCAGTGAAAACATTGTCTTATAGGTAGATGGGGACACAAGTACTAACGACACAGTCATTGCATTGGCGAGCGGGCTATCTGGATCACCTTCTATATCTTCTCTGAACTGTAAGGAAGCTGCACAGCTTCAGGCATGCCTTGATGCGGTATGTATGTTTTTTGCTTTCTTACGAACAGTTGTTCATAAGCTGGTGTTAACATAGAACACTAAAAATATATTATTTTCAGGTGATGCAAGGACTCGCCAAATCAATAGCTTGGGATGGCGAGGGCGCAACATGTCTCATCGAGGTGCACAATAAATTTAGTGAAAAAAGCTTTTCTCCCAAACATCTGATTGAAAACAAGCCTTAACCGATAACACACAATCACCAGGTAACTGTAAAAGGAACGGAAACTGAAGCAGACGCAGCAAAAATTGCACGCTCGGTGGCTTCCTCTTCACTGGTCAAAGTATGAGATCATAAATAGACATTCATGAATGATCAAAGTGAGCATTCTTGTTTCTAACTGATAATAACTAACTGTAGTTACTGGTGTGACAGGCAGCTGTATATGGGAGAGATCCAAATTGGGGACGCATAGCTGCAGCTGCTGGCTATGCCGGGGTTTCTTTCCAGATGGATAAGCTAAGGATATCGCTCGGCGAGTTTTCACTCATGGAGAGTGGTCAACCTCTTCCTTTTGACAGGTTTATCTTACAACTGATTTGTCTCTCATTGGCAAAATGAAGTTGGATCATTTTCTTACCCAAATGTATATGCACAGGGATGGAGCCAGTCACTACCTGAAGAAAGCTGGCGAGGTTCACGGAACTGTTACAATCGATTTATCCGTTGGTGAGTGCTTTTCACTAACCATATTAGATGAACCATGTCTTGTGGACCTGATTGCAGTTTTTTCCGGTGAACAGGTGAAGGTGTCGCAATCGGTAAGGCATGGGGGTGCGACCTTAGCTATGACTATGTCAAGATCAATGCTGAGTACACCTCCTAAGGCTCAGACCGAGAGACAGAGTTTCATGTACTGTTGTTGTGTTATGATTTCAATTTATAAACTAATTTTGCTTCAAATAAGATAACACCAATTCAACAACAAAGTTCCACAAAAGTGAAACTGAATCCCAAAAAGAAACAAAAGCAACAAAATCTTCACTTCTTACACACACACACAAAAGCAACAAAATCTTCACTTCTTAACTGTTAAAGAAAAGTTCTGAA